TTATGCAAGCTCCTCAAGGACAATACCTTTTAAAGAAGTAAATAGAAAATTTGAAACTTCCAGAGTTCATGTGCCTCAGACGATCCTGATAAGTACATTGGTGTCTTTTAGAGGATTTATTCAGACTTATGAACTAGATTGGAGAGATATAATGTTAATCTTAAACCAAGCTTTGACTTCTATGAAAAGCAGGTAGCCTTATAAGCTGCTATTACATTTGGAGAGGAATATTATATTGTTGTAAGGACTCAAAAGATGGACAACTAGTGGAATTTCCTGTTCCCACTGGAGCCCAACCAGTCAGAGCCCTGCTGCTAATAGCCAGACAGAAGAATGAAAAAGATATTTTCTTTCAAATATGTATTCTTCAAGGTCTAAAAACTAGAATCAAGCCTTCAGTTATTAAATGTTAGCTATTTATCAGGAAAAAGAGGAACACCCCTCTGATTTCTTAAAATGTTTAATAGAGGGACTGGTAAAGCATACTTTGTGAGATGTTAATTCAATAGACAGACAGATTACTCTTACAGATAAGTTAAAGAGCTACAAATGATAGCTTTTGCTCCATACCACTCATTTGATACTTTGGTAAAAACTGTTTAAGTGCCCTATAATTGGAACTGGGAGAAAACCAGGGAGAAAAAAACCAAAGAGATCAAAAAATGGCTATCGTTATTGCGGCCTCAAAACAGACACCCAAAGTCTGATTCTCTTGGCTCCAAGAAGAGCTCAATGATGATGAGATTCATCTGCTACTGCTGTCAGAAGCAAGACCAGCATAAGAGGGACTGCCTCGAGGCCCACAAGCCATGCCCTGACTGCCAAGGCAGCCACTAAAAGTGAGACTGCACTCTGAGGCGGAGGCCCCAGAAGTCAGACTCAGCTTTCCAGGTGGTCCAATAGGACTCAAGGGTGCTGGGGCTGCCTCCTCACTCTGGCCAGACAGTCTGTACCTGTTATCTCCACGGAGGAGCCCTGAGTAATCATGACTATAGAGAAAAAAGAAACCCAGCCTATGCTGGACATTGGCACAGGTCTCTTTGTCCTTCTCCAACCCTGACTTTCCTTCCAGTCATTATACCTCAATAGAGACAGACTTTAAAAGGTATATTCTAAAATATATTGCTTTAACTATAACTGAGATACTGCAATATATATTCAGGTTGCTTACTAAT